GAGGGAAGAGAAAGAGAGAGTAGAAAGAGTGTTTGGAATAAGATTCAAAATACCTGCTATGCAATAATCGGTATTGAAGATGAGTACAGAATGTAGTTTGCAAATCCCAGCCCTGTAGCTTCAAATTCCACTTCAGCCAATGACTATCTATCTGCCCCTGGCTAGCCTGTTGCTGTCTTTGTTTTCTCATCTATAGGTAAGAGTGATGATGATGACAGTTGCTTTTTCCTCACTATTCTGTAATAAAAGCGTTAATTCTGTAAAGGCCTTAAAAAAGCCCATACACTTAAATCAGCCAAGTTTCATATCTGTGTTCACTGATTAAACAATCAATAAAGTATTCAATTTCCTCAATCTGCTTATAAGATATGAATGGGACATGTCCAAGAGGTGCCAGGTTAAAAGGCAAATAAGCCTCTGTTGAAGGACTAAGTTTTCTTATTCTTTATAACATATTGAAGATAAGTTCTCTAAGACAGAATGCTTTACAAATATCTTCTAATTAGTTCTGCTGTTTGTAGCCATATTTATTTCACTTTCCAAGGTGTATTCAAATCTTATTTGCTTTTGATTTAATCTGAAACTTCTCATCTTTTTAAAGCAAGAATGCCTATCAGAAAACAATTTGAAAACAATCAATTAGTATAGAGATATGCACACTGGTGCTTTAATATACATGAAGTACAAATGCTTGGGAAAAAACGTTTTCTTTCCATATTATTTATTTTTTTGTTTGTTTGGTTATTTAGAGACAGAGTCTCACTCTGTTGCCCTGGGTAGAGTGCTGTGGCAATGACTCATGCTAGGATTACAGATGTGAGTCCATGTCAGATAATAGTAATATAAATATTTCTTTAGTACATTTAATTTAGCAAAGCAACATTTGTTACAGGTGCTTTTTGTTAGAATTGATTATCAGATGTTTATTACATCACTGATGAACTTATATCCTGACACAGCAAAGTTCAAGCAAAGTAAGTTTAGGGAGGTACCTTCTCACCATATTCCACACTGGACACATATGGGAAAAGTTCGCTTGGCTCAGGGAGATGAATCTGTGGATGAACAGCTAGTTCTATCCTTTCTGTAGAACTCTAAGTCAAGTCATTTCTCATTACAGTGTCTTGCTTAAACCATTACTTTTTACTTGAGGGAAGGTCCATATTTTCTTATTTTATAAATGTTATGAGACTAGTCCTATAAAATATATATAGTATAACAAATATGTTGCTATCAATGAATTTATACTTGTATGTATTACACAATAATATTTCTATAGTCTAATGTCAAAGAGTTTCACATAATTCTCGAAGTACTTCTGACATAAGAGATTGTGCTTTTGCTATTTACTTCTCTTTCCCCAATTGTAAGATAAAATAAATCCCCAACAGCCACAAATCACTATATCAGAACCACGAAGAGTATTGTAACACATTTGGAAATAGCTTTTATTTCCATATTTGACTCATCGATGAAATAAAATATCTGTGAGCTATCACCTTCTTTAAAAAAGGATACTTCATGCAACGTTATCTCACTATAATGATAGTTTAAATGTGTCAGCAAATACTTAGATCTTTATCGTTCCAGGCATTTAAATTTAGCTACCCTTTGCGGGGTGGGGGGCTATTTATTTCCTAAGGAAAAATGTTTTTGAGTAACAACAGAATCCAAAGGATTGAGTAGAGTAGAAATTTGGGAGTCTGTCTTTGCTTAAGTTTTCTCATTTTTTTGTGACTGGCATAGAGAGGCTCTTTGTTTTTTGAAGGTCAGGTGACAATTACACTAACTATAAACATTCATTCTATTCCACTGCTAAGTAATTTCTACTTTAAATTGCTTCTAAATCTTTTCTCACCACCTTAAATCCAATATTTATTTTAACCTTGAGCTGCCTAAGACCTTTAATAGGAAGCTTCAAAGCATTTTAAAAATCGTATCCTTTTTAAATCTTTCTCATTTGAATGCAAGTGCCTTGAAAGCTCAAACAGTGTTGGTTGTTCTTATTGAAGTTTATAATGCTTTAGATATTCAAATCAGCTCGATGTCTTCCATTTGTTATGCAAATCTTTAACTTTATATACTGCATGGTTTATCTACATTAATACAGCTTTCACTAACAGGTCTTACCAGAGCAGACATCTACTCTGAAGGTGCACGTTTTTTTAGTGTCTTGAATTACCATAAAATCATAAAAATAGTGTGTATTGCTTTACTCTAATCAGACTCAGTTTTATGTGGTTGTTGAAAGCCCTTTTACATTCCTTTCTGTGTCTGGAGGTCTGTGTATAAAACTGATTCACAAAAAGCAAAGTGAAGACACCTGCTGGCTTATAGCACAAATACGAAAATATCTTAGAGCCTGCTGAAAGGAGAATTGGAACAATATGTCATTACTGAAGGCTCACTTGCAAGTTCTAATGTATTATAATGAAAACAGTATGACAAACCTAATGAGACAGTGAAGATTTGGGTAATTGTTCCTACAATGTATGGTAACTTTTCCAGCCGTTATTGGCAAACATAAAACCTAATGAGATTTTATTAATTTAAATGCAGTACATCTGCAAAACATTTCCTTCCTTGCATTCTCCTCTGATAGTCTTCCTTTCCACATGGACTTGATCCTTTTAAGTTAATTGTTCTGTATAGTACACTCCCCAAACAAAATGCTTGACATAAACATGAATCAAACTTTTTTTCATTTATTTTGGTATATATTGTCCTGGAGCAGAACGCTGCCTGCAAACTTATGAAAACTATCAGTACAACACTTAATAATAGCATAACATTTGCAGTTCTAGTAAAATTACTTTTGCTAGAATACTTGATTTTTCTTTTCAGGCTGTAGAAATGCATTTGTCTTCTTAATTGGTGATGGGAAGAAATTAATTTCCTGTTATTTTCAGCCATATGTTTTACATTGTCGAAAGATTACAGATGAATAAGAAGCCAGTGTCTGCCCATTGACTGCCTCTGACTCAAGCAATCACTGTTTGCTAATTTTTAAAGTGTTAACTATGTTTGCAAATCTGTCTGCTTTCATGAAACCCAGATTCAAAATTTTTACCTACCTTTACATGTACAGGGCAAATACGTTTTAGTTGAAAAATGAAAATGTTTTCATTTAAGGAAATCTTTTAAATAGCACTATTTTAAACATGAAAAACATGAAGAGAATACGAATTTGCTATTATTACTCTTGGCTTCTTGTTCGCTTTCAGCTCGCTTCACTTCGTCGTGTGTCTTTTTCAAGATACAGTGTCATACACACATGATAGGTGAAGTCTTGACTTTGCAGTGTTAGGTGAAAGAACATTTCTTGATGAAGGCGCCAGTAACACATTGCCAGCTCATGGTAGAAAAAGCAATAGAGCTGTCAGGAAGTTCAAAAATTATATTGTCTCTGCTAGAATAACTGGAAAGAGATCATATTCACTTTCCCCCTGAGTTTTGCAGGTCATTTTGGATTTACAGTAGAGCATTTTATTACAGTTTGAAAACTTCATAGAAAACTAAGTTGTCTTGTTCATTGTTATCAAGTGTTTGCCCATGCAAGCAGACATAATTGAATCAAAATATATTTTAACTATTTCTGTGATATGTTTTCCAAGCTCTATGAAAAAAATTAAACAGAGGAGTCATTGTCTTGTTTTGTACTTTAGACTTAAGGCTCATAAATTTATCACGTTACAAATAGGATGGAGTTTATAAAATACCACAGAGATTAAAGAGGTCAATAATTTCCCTGTGACCTTTTGGAGGTTTGAGTCAAAACTGATGGAGAAAAAATAGATTTATCCTAAAAAACAAATTACTTATTTGACAATGATTTTAAAGGAACATGTTTTTAAATTTACCATGTGTTCTATAATATCCCTTGTTTTCTGTCTTCCAAAATACCCATATTGCCTAAAGTAAGCATTTCTTGGAAGGCATTACAAAATAACTTTTACTGGAGAATAGAATGTAAAACATATTGTTCTCTCCCTCACTGATTTTATGAAAGGCTATTATACACTAAATTAGTATACTATTTAAGTAAGTATATAATTTCATTAATGCAACTTAGAGTATTTTGATGGAAAATTATCTGGCAGTTTTCTTTCTTCTGCTACAATTCAGAGCGCTATATTTTCATTGTAAAGCACAACAAAGGAAAAAACAGGATACTTCCAACCATATTTTTAATATTAAAATTTGCTGGCAGAAATAGTGTTAAAAGCTGAGATCTTGGAGTCAGGATTCTAAAATTTGTTTCATAGTGTTATCTATCGATTCTGTCGTATTTACTCTGTGTTGTTTAAGCATTCCCTGTTTATACCAATCTCTTTCGTTGAACCATGAATGTTATCAAAAAGCCCAGTGTATGGTCAGAAGAGACACATCCTGTGAGTAATCATGAAAGTGTGAAACTGGTAATAAAATATGCAGATTCCTATGGTTTCTTTGCTTTATAATAATAAATGGTATTAATTCTGATGGAGTATTATTTAGGATAATATAAAAATATATTCCACAAAACAGGTTTTCAAGAGTGCAGAATTTGTATATGATTTTGAAGTATTTTCTATTCAAATGTTCACTGAAAATCTCTCCCTCTCTTTCCTGTGCACATTCACACAAACATACATGGAGACATGTCAGTTAGAAAACTCGTTTGAGTCTTTAGTGATAATAATTAATTTAGGTGAGTGTGTGAAATGATTTCTTTTACTTATTTTCCTTATCTTTCTCAATTGGAGACTAATTCTTCCACTACAAATTAAAATAGGAGTATGTAATAAGAATGGTCATTGTTTTTAGTATTGTCTTAATTTTTCCATAAGGATCTTTTTTCAGGAGCACAATCTCTAATCTCCTATGTATTTTCTTCTGTTCTTTGTTTTTGGTGCAATGGGATAAGAAAAAACTCATAGTTTCACCTTTAATAAAATCCTCACGAGCTATGAGAATTTGGGAAAGCTGTTAAAATCTCCTATCTCCAGTTTAGTCACATACAAAATGGAGATAATGTTGAAAGCTTTGCAGAATTGTTGAAAATACTATGTGAAGAGTCTTATGTTGCCATACATATTATATTGGAGCTGGCAAAGGCTTCAGAGGCTTGATGACAAAGACATCTCCTTCCTTTCCTACATCAGTGATTGGCTCCCAGATGTGAAAAAAAAAAGTATCATGTGAATATTGCATGTTATATCATGTTATATACTTAACACAAACCCTGGGATATGAGTGTAAGTAAATGCTGTCTACCATTTCAGATTTTATTTTTGTTTTTCCTTGCTTAGTTAACAACTCTAATTGTAGGTTTAGGCAACTCATCTAATTTTCTGCTTTATTTCCTGAGCAAAAAAAAAAAAAAAATAGGTACAGTGACCCTGTACCATGTCCAAACCATTTCAACAACCCATGCTTTCAGTAAAATGAATAAAATATATTTAGTGCTATTTTACTTTCATCTGAGGAAAACACAACACCAACGAGAGTTTCTCTTTTTTCTTTTCCCAACCTCCAGCAACCACGCAGCTCTTCCTTTTGTGTCTCGGGATTCCTCCCAGAAACAAAGCTGCAATGGAAAATGCACCCGAGCGAAGCCTTGTCATTGACCAAATGGTGTAGGCAAGAGCTGAAAATTAAAAAGAAAACAAAGCAAACAACAAGCGGCAGGAAGGAGGTTGCCAATGAACAAAAACCAGTTTCCTGCTCAGTGTATTTGTAAAGAGAATAATGTGGTTGCCATACTTTCTTAAGGAGCGAGGATTTTAGTTTTCTGGAAGCTGATCAGACATATTGATAGTAAGCAGTGGTATGTCTAGGTCAGGGGTACGAGGAAGCAATCTGTTCTTCTGTCATAGTGAGAAATATGTTTCATTTACTTATATTTACATGTGTAGTAATATGTTGTTACAGGTAATAAGATACTGGATCCTTGGTAGAAAACTTAAAAATATTAACCTAGGCTCAGTGTCCATAGCACAATGGTTATGGCACCAGCCACATACACGGAGGGGGGTGGGTTTGAACCTGGCCCCAGCCAGCTAAACAGCAATGACAACTGCAACAAAAAAATAGCCAGGTGTTGTGGTGGGTGCCTGTAGTCCCAGCTTCTTGGGACGCTGAGGCAAGAGGATTGCTTAAGCCCAAGAGTTTGAGGTTGCTGTGAGCTTTGATGCCACGGCAATCTACTGAGGGCAACATAGGGAAACTCTGTCTCAAAAAAAAAAAAAAAATTAACCTCACTGACTAAATGTCATTTATTTTTTCTCACAACCATAGTATAATAATCATTATAAACTATGCTAGTAAAAAATTTCTTATTTATTCTGGGAAGACTACACCTACCATGTAACTTATGTTAAAAATGGTTCCAATTCTATCATCTTAAAATGTGGACATAGTATTTTTCTGATTTATATTTAAAACAATGACAATGATCAATGACATTTCGAGGGTTTGGGGGGGTGCAAGTTAAGTGCCCTTATCTTAGGTGATATAAAGCATATTTTTTAGTAAAAGGTAGAAAACATATTCATTCTAAAGAATCGTGTGCATTATACACACAATATAGTTCGTGCGTATTTTAGGTTCAATTTTTGCTAAAGTGTTTGTCCTCGGCAGGACAATGGGTGATATCATTTTATGCTTAACAAAAAAACCTACCATCTTCAACAACAGCAAATCATATGGTTCAAGGAAGTCTCAACAAAATGTGTTGGGAGAGGACTAAACTGTTTTATGTCCGTTTACTACGAGACATCATTTCTAATTCATATGTCATTTTATAGTAGTTGAAAAATGTGTAATAAATTCATAGATTAAATACCACTCCAACTAAGAATAATCAATCAAAAATGACAGCTGATTGATTTCTTTTGTAAATGAGAATATACTTATTGTTTAATTGATTTCAATATGCTCAAAAGGTGATTTGAAAGTCATATATTCAAAAGAATATTGCTGCTGTTTTAGTGAGAATTTTAGAAGTTCAAAAATGTGACTCATTGACTGACTTGAGATCTTTTATCCCTGTCAAGAGAAGAAATTTATGACCTAGTCACTTAAAATAGGAAAAAAAAAAGTTTAAACTCATGAAGAGGTCTCAGATTTTAATTTTATAAGCCGTTTTTCCCCAGCTACTTTGGAGTTTGAATCAAGTTACTTCTTTTGAATAAGAGGTAGAATACTCCTATATCATGAAAAGTGTGTGAAAATGTCCCTTGAGTCCTCTGATTACAGAACTTAAGCATCATAAAGGCAAGAAACAGATGGCTCCACAATGCTGGAATATTTTAAAATAAACATTAATACAAGTTGGGATAACATTCTTATTAAGAATACAGTTTTAATCATGTTAATTGTTGTTGACTTTGCTACTTAAAACTATTTCTTAGTTTCTAGAAAGGGGAAAAACAATTACACAGAATGTAATAATTATGTGGCATTAACTCTATTATTTACAGTAAAGTCATCTCCTAGAAACACTATTTTGGTTTCCTGAGACATAGTCGGGTAAATATTTTAAATTCCTTTTATGATATTTGAATAGGCTTATTACATGTGTCTACTTATCTTCTCATTCTAAAATATGTTAGTTTATAAGACAGCGTAATGCACAGGGTATACACTGAGGAAGTTTTTCCTCTGGATTGTGATCATGTTTAATTGACCACTTAGAATCACAAGTCATTTCTACAGTGCATTAAACTAAGACATATGGATTAAGAGATGCTTTTATGTCTATTCATCTATGTATGTATCAAAATATACATATATAAATTTTAATATCTTCAAAAATATTTTTCTCATACTAACATATTACCACATATGCAGATAACAGTATATTAAACATATTTCTCCATATGAAAGAAGTTAGAGTTATTAATATAGTTGTTTACATATTTAAACACATACACAGTTAATACATGTTTAATGTATACGTGTTTAATTTTTGCGAGGATTGATTTGATTTTCACAAATGACTGACTTAGGTTAGATCTTTTTATTAACAGCATAAAAGAGCAGGATGGAAATGGATACTCCTTCCTATCTCATCTTCGAGTCATCTTCAGAGTCAATAGAACAGAGCTTAGAATGTTGAATATGGTAGGAGGAATATGGCGTATGGAGTAATATAGTCAAGGTTTGAAAATCTAGCTTTAGCATTTGCTTCTATATGCTTTGGTAGTATGTTGCTTACCAGCCCTACGTCTATTTCTCCAGTGGTAAAAGGTGACTAATTACACATGGTATATCCAGCGAGTTACATATAGTACATGGTGAATTTAGTATGTGGTCAGCATTTTTTTTTTTTTTTTTGAGACAGAGTCTCAGTATGTCACCCTTGGTAGAGTGCCGTGGCTTCACAGCTCACAGCAACCTCAAAGTCTTGGGCTTAAGTGATTCTCGTGCCTCAGCCTCCCAAGTAGCTGGAACTATAGGCACCTGCCACAACGCCTGGCTATTTTTGTTGTTGTTGTTGTTGCAGTTGTCATTGTTGTTTAGCTGGCTAAACAAACCTGCCAGCCTCGGAGTGTGTGGCCAGCTCCATAACCACTGTGCTATGGGAGCTGAGCCATTGATCAGTTTTACCCTTTCTATTACGAGCATAAAATTTTAATTTATTTTTTGCTTTCTGCAAAATAAAGTTTTAATTTATAATCTAGGACAGTTATAATCTAGACCCTAATTTAGCGGGTTATATATAGATTATAATCCATTATAGGTTATAATCTATAACCCCAATCTAATTTATAATCTATATTGCTCTCTTGACTCTAGCTCCATGTCTTCATCCATTTTAATCCTTTGAATTTTCTCCACTACATGGCAATTTTCTGAGCTATGCCTATGAACTATGGCTATGAGGTATGCTTGAGTCCTACCTTCTGGTGTCTTGTGAAATTCCCCCAAAATAAACACACAATTTAAGGTACCAAGAAAATACTAGACATTAAAAAGAGTGAGCTCTGTTGTTGAAAAAGGGAAATGGATTAAAATGATTTGCCTAAAATCAAGCGGATGGTAAGGGGTGGAACTTAAGTTTAAGCCAATGCTGTTTTTGTTGTTTTATGCCATTGTTTTCATCAGTATATTTTATAAGTGTTACTAATAGAATTTTTTCCTCTGGTATCCCAAGATGTGAAAGAATCACACCAAGAATTAAATGATTAAAAATCATTTAATCTTTTGAATTCCAAATCACACAGGAATCCCACCTATGTAATTCTCCATACAGTGAGGTAGGTGATTCTCGGGAAGGACATACATTGATGAACATGAGATATTCTTTCATTGTGTTCTTCAGTAGCTTGTTGTTATGACCTTAAAACTGTAATGGATTATGTGCTTTATGTGTTGAGTCTTTAGGTTTGTATTATGGAAAACTCTAGGCTATTCTATTCTTTGCTTTCACAAAAATAAAATTAGTTTTAGTTGTTTTTAAAAGTAATAATTAAGCATTTGGTTTATAGCACTAGCACAAAGAAATAAAACAAATAAATAAAATGTATCCAATGGTGTGCAAAATTATTTCCCAAATTGGTAATATCTGTCTGTAAGCTCAAAGCCAGGACCCCTATTCACATTTGCCAAATGATTGCATGCCAACATTTTTCTCTCTGACAGTTTTAATAATATGCCAATAGACTTCACCATCAAATTCAATAAGAACAGGTATTTATTCTAACATTTAAAATCAAAATAGAAAGCAAAAATTTCTCAATTCATCCATATATATATACATAATATTCTTTTCACTTGGACTTTTTAAATCTAAAATCCTTTCTAGAGATATGTTTCCAAGTGTGCTATTATCAGAGATACCCAGAAATATATAGGATATGAGAATTACAGAAAATTCTGGGAAAAGAAGGAAAGAAAATTTATAGGTCAATATCTTAGTTCAGTATACTGTAACAATTTACTATAATTGTGGAGGCATAAATAACACACATTTACTTCTCACAGTTCTGGAAGAAAAGAAGTCCAATTTGAAAGAGGCTTACAGTTCCAGTGGCTGGTGAGGGCACTCTTCCTGGTTAGCAGGAATTTGGAGTATTTCAAATCAGAGAAAACAGACATTCTTATCAAAAATTATATCTGAATTTGAACAAACAGAAGTCATGTGCTACCTATGGATGTAGAGGAATTATAAGTGATA